CGGGGCCTGCCAGCAAAAGCAGCCATGCTGCTTCTGGAAGTGGCTGGGGAGCTCTGGAAGCGGCGCAGCTGCTTTTACTGTGAGTGAGACCGGTGCCCCTGCAGCCAGTGGGATTGACTGCCGGGGGACCCCCTGCCCTGGCCAGCAGGATCAGTTGCTGGAGGACACCCCCCCGTCACTGACTGGTGTCAGGGGGTGCGTGCCCCTCCCAACTCAAGAGGCAGCAGACACCCATAGAGACATGGCTTAAGTCCTCTCCTCCAAAAGTTAAGATTGACCTAGCTTAAGCAGCTACCTCCAGGAGAAAGTTCATAATTATGAATCACGAGCAGTATTAGGTTCTCCTTCCAGTCCAGAGTTAAGTGCCTTTCTCATTTAAAACAAATAATCTCCCCCCTCCCGAATATATACACAGAGTAATTAAGTAGTCATTGGAGCAGGGACTGGAACCCCAGTGATTCCCTTGAACACTAGACTGCAGAGTAATTCTCATCTGTTCTCTATTGTTCTACCTATCCAACATGACCAATTATTATTTAAACAGGCCACACACAATGCAAAAACTTCCAGAGAAAAGACTAAGAACCATGACAGGGAACCCTTTTGCCTGGGAAGTGAAAGATTGGGTTCAGGTTCCCCCAGGCAGAGGACAGATTTGAGCCTGTGTTTCTTATGTGCTAGATGAGTGCTCTAACCCCCGGGCAACTGAGGAAGATGGACAATGGTAGGATCACCAACTCCTCATCCACTAGAAGGGTTGAGGGGTCTAATTCCAGGAGAGGGTTTGTGACTGTGAATCTTGAGCAGAGACAGGTGCTATCATAGGTCTGACCTGGCCTGGGGTGGTACAGGGAATTAGGCAGAACGCAGTTGTACTCAGCTGCCCATCTCTCCATAGCCCACCCCTCTGCAACCCTCTCTTGCCTGTGTTTACCATCACTGCAGATGGATCAGGTATCTGCAACAAGGATGCAGGTAGCTTGGGTACCTGCATCCTTGGGTACCTGGTGGGAGGAGGAATCAGAACTTGTAGTAGAGGTGATATCTTTTATTAGAGACCAACAAGATGTTTGCCAAAAAAAAAGCTTTATTTTCAAGCTTTTGGGTGCAGGCACCCTTCTTTAGAAATGAAAGTTCATCTTTCATAGGAGAGTTGAAGGTGTGGTAAAATCTCCTGTTTGGAACAGTTCATTTTATGCAGGTTAGGCGCAGAGAAAAGTTGGAATAGTCTGTTTACCTTGAAGTTGTTTGGTGGCATGCAGGACGTAGAGTCGTATTTCCTTCTGGTTATGATGTTTCATATTTCACAGAAGAGTAAAAAGATGGAACGCTCTTCTGAGCAGGAGTTTCTTATGTGGTGAGGTATCTTTGGGCTCGATGATACTGCAAATTACCTTGAACAAAGGCAGGGGGAGGAGATTTTGGGTCCACAGGAGGGGGTTGGATCACATGTTCTGGCCTGTGGCAGTAAAAGGTTGCTGACCCTGCTTTAAGAAGGCAGCTTATACCTTCCTCTGGAACACACAGTATTGGCCACTACCCAGGTTGCTGAATTAGATGAACCATTAGTTGCAGTGAGCCCTACACTTTTATGTTTCTAAATTATCCCTTCCTGCTGCTTGCTAAATCCAGTTCCACAGGTTTCCATCCTCCCCTTCTCACGTTAGTGGACATAGGCAAATAAGTCTAATGGTCATATAAAAATAGTAGTGACATGACTTGTCTGCACACAAAACATTACACTACTTCAGTTGAATAACATGTTTATTAGGTCATACCACCAATTAGAAACATAAGTACCATTCAGCTCATTTTCAGATAGATGAATTTACAAACAAGAAATCCTTACCAGAATCACATACTCTTACAGGTGTCCCAGACACAACATTAACTTTATTAACCAAAAGTTCATAAATAGTAAAAATGTTCTCTGTTTTCACATTGCAGCCTTCCTTGAGCATGTATATACAAGTTTGGAGGATCTCCTCCACATCTGTGTCATAAACTTCCTTAGCCATTTTAACAACCGTGGAGATGAATGTTTCTGCTTTTTGCCTAGAGCAGAACCTTTTGTCCTTTAGCAATTTACAATGAGTATTGCTCTCAGCATGCATGAAATGTTTGCATCTGAATAGAAAGTGGTGGTATAATACAATACGGTACTATCAGCTCATACTTTGCTTACACAATCCACCCTCATGATAAATCTTTCACGTAAAACAATAAATCTTCCTTATAATCAAGTCCTTTATAAGGATTAGCTTCCTTTGAAGACATTAAAATGTTTGGCTTCCAGCAATGGTGATATTTTACTTAGGGTGGAGTGTGTTTGCAATCACTTCTTGTCCTTCTTGATATTTACACAGTACACAGTAATTTTGATCTTGTTACAATTTATGAATCAAAAGTGGAAAGTTCTGAAATGTTCACAGTGCAGTATCTTGTGGCCTAACCAAACTTTGTCTATGTCATTAAAAATAAACTTTTTTTTATAAAAATAGAATATTTTAAGTGTTTACACCAATGAAACCAGCTATATTCTACACCAAACAAGCTATACAGTAGTATGCACAGAATTCCACAGGAACAGAAATGACACACCATGCTTGCATGAAAGCTATAGTAATCTTCCCTAAATCTTCAAAAGCCTAAATGACTATATCTTTTCAAAATCACTTTTCTGGTCATAATTTAGAAATATGCTGTATATAATAACTCACTAGGCTAGATTAACTCAAGGAGCAGCTGTAAGGCGTAACCATTTTTCCTCTTCCATTCAGCTTTCTTAACCCTTTAGCACTGCTTTGCAGAAGTTAGCAGCCTTTCTGGTTCAGTTGGCTCTCTTCGGCTGACTTGGCAGCTCCTCAACTGACCCATTTGCTCCTTCCAGGCTGCAGCTCCACCCCTGGGCTGGCGGGCACAGGTATTCATAACCTGGGTCAATAGCCAGTTGCATGGAGCCTCTGCTTGCCTGGTTCCTCTCATGTTTACTACTTCCAGATCTAACTGAGTACCTCTCCAAAGTGGTGTTCCCCAAACTGCTGCATCCCAGATTTTAGCATACTGGTTAATTTAGACTCCGTAGAGTTTTTAGCCTCCCCAAACAGCTCATTCATTATTGAAAGAAGTGAAGCCTTATATTTTTCAGTAGGAAATCTATCAGTACAGTGATTTCACAAAGAAGTGGTAGAATGCTGGAATGACCCTGGCAGCAATGGGAATGCATACTTCCAGCTTGCTCCTTTCGATTTTATGAACAGCATAAATACACTGCTACCTCAGAGCTGATGTACTTGTTTAATTTCATTCTGCTTTGGAATGTTGACATGTGCCAGTTTAGCAAATTGCCATGAGAATGGCTGTCTCTAGGCTACGTTGCCCTTTCATAAGCCTAACAAGAAAAGATGAGAAAAGGTAGAGCCTACAAGATCCAACAGGAGGAACTAATTTTGCAGCCTTACAATTTTGAGTATTTAACATGGTCTTTTTATAAAACTATTCCTGCAGTGCCTGATGACCAATAGTATGTGCACCATTAATGGTACTTCCAGCTTCAGTGACCAGTGGTCTAGGTGCTCTTTTACCTCATTAATGATATGACCCTGTATTGGGATCTTGTGCATCACTGCTACTTACCTCATTCAATTGTACAAGCCTTGAGGCACAACAAATGGTAGCTTGCAAAGCTTGTACAAATGAATGAGAGTTGGTGAGTCCTAGCTTTAAGCAGTAGCAGCTGAGTTCTTTAGTCGGATTATGGATGCGGTTGCTCAGAATGTTTGGAAATTACCACCGTAGGGTATAAGAATCCCATAACTTTAAACAGCATGACATCACCTCCTCATAATAGTGCAATATGGACAACAAACACGTGTGACAGTGTTTTCACAAAGACTGGGCAGTGAAAAAGTAGCGGACAAAACATTTACTTTTGTTCATACTACTAGTAATGGATGTCTCTTTGATGTTCTGTAGACACCCAGTCATGTATCCACATCCCTGTCTATGTTGTCTTGTGATGACAAAAGGGAAGGATAAGGAGCAATGCATTTCACATTAACATAGGTAGCGTTGACATGAACATAATGCTCCCCAATAAAAGTGGAGAAGATTGTTGATATTTTTGAAACTAGTTCAGAAAATGCTGGGCGCAGTTCAGGTTTCGGATGCCAGCACTTTAGCATGACTTCATACCTGCCATTGAGAGAAAGTAGAGTTAGAAATCATAAAAATAGACTCCCACTGCCAACAAACTCAGAATCAATAACATTTGCAAGAGATTGTGCAAACTACTTACAGTGGATCAGGGCAGTATTCAGGCTGCAATAGTCTCCTTCCTTGTAATAAATAGACGGTTATATCAAAAGAATTTACATCAGGGTAAGGCGGTGCCCCTCTTGTCATAAGTTCCCATAACAGCACACCAAAAGACCACTAATAAAACAAGGGAACAAAGAAGTAGTAAATCACAGGGCTGGAGAGCTTTGAACTCCACTTTAAGAATATGGCTTGACAGTTTTGAGCATTCAAGGGTGCATCCATTTCTCCCTTGAAACAGGCTCTTTTACTGCATGCAGCTCCCTTTTTAAGTAACCTAATAAATGCTGTACAAACCTGAGAAACCACGTACACTACAGACAGAGAACCTGAACTAAACAAATGAAAGAAAAATAAAAAGTTTCTGGGCCAACTCCCTAGCTGGTGTGAATTGACAGGGCTCCTTTGAGGTCAGTGGTGGAGCTCTGCCAGTATACATAATCTGGTAGTCTGGTTAACCCTATGTAATTACATAGTGAAGAAAATGGTGGCAATTCTATACATCACAGGCTAATATGAATTTGGGTTCAACGTGCAGGTGGAATTCAAAGTACTGCAGACATCTGGCAACTCCAGCTAGTAATTCTTTCTTAATAAATAGCCAGGTGACACTTGAGCTGGTGTTATTTGCTTTTTAAATACATACTCAGTGCCTAAAACATTTTCAAGGTCTGTTATATTTGAAATTTATCAGAGCTAATCTCCTGTTTTCTTATGTTTTGCAGCAGCTCTCCTATGGCAGACTGAAGAGCCAACTGCTCACAGGGAAGTCAGTGAGAGATTCATCTTCCATTTCACTGGGAGTAGGATTAGGTTCTGGGTTCTTCCCTGAGGAAATAGTTATGCCAAGCTGTTGTGCTTTGTGATGAGAACTAATGTTGTCTGTGGACTAGGATAAAACCATTCTGTTTTTCTTTTGCCTATGAAAGTAGGATTCAAATATAGTTTTGGTTTGGAGGTATAATCCTAGTTCATTAATCAAGTGCCATAATGATGCCTTTAGCAATACTTGTGGGGATGTGTTTCACATGAGGAAAAGGAGGAAATGATACAAAACAGTTTGTACGTTACCACATCTGACTTTGTTGTGAACTTCTGAGTTTGCAAACTTTCTAAAGCCATCCATTTCACTGGCAGCTTGGCTCCCGTTTTATTGTGCACACTGTAGTATTCTTTATCATACACATCTCTAGCTAGACCAAAATCAGCAACCTTGACAGTGAATTTTTCATCCAGCCTACGGAAATGACAAAAATTATTATCTGCAGCTGAGTAGACAGGATTTACAATGACTTTGACTCTTCCCTGGATTATAATGAGTGATTTGCATGTTGGAAACCATAACTTTGGAAGGCAGTGCTGTATCTTATATTTACTTACTACTACTAAATTGAAGCAAAAGACCTGCAGCGTAGCATGTTTAATAATCATAAAACAAACTACAGGAGTTCAGGAAACTTTTTGCTACTTCTTTGACAATACAATTCAAACTACATTTAAAAAAAAAATTGCATTTTAAGAAAAGGTATTTGCTACTATCCTGTTAATTCTGACAGTGAATGTAACACTGTTTCTTAAATAGCTGCCTTTTCTAGAAATCTACTGGTTTTCATATCAAAATATATCATTACTGTTTGCTCTTACTTTAGGCAAGTCACAGCTCCCTGTTACCACATTAAGTCTTCAGCTCTGATGAAGGTCTCACAGTATAGGAAATACCTGGTATACGTCACAGAACACACTAGGTGTTTGGCATATATTTGTAATTTAATAGATGTAGTAATACTAGATGAAAAAAGTCTGTAGGGCAGCTCCTATCCTTTCCTTCCTTCCTTTGGACTGAACATAGCTGTTGCAGTAGGAAGGCAGGATTTGGTGAGTTGCAAATTCAAAACTAGTACAAGGACATACTTTTTTGTACAATGTGTGACTGACCTATGGAAGCTGTAGCAACAGAATATCACTGAAGGATTCCGATTGCAGGACTCAGAGAGGGATAGGATATATATAGGGACAAAAAACCTTCAGAGTTTTAACAGATAGTACCAAAAGCATAGTATTGGAAGGGATATTAAACCTCATACTTTAAAGTTTAAAACTATCTCTGCTTGTTGGGGTTCCGGAGAAAGGAACAGAACATCCTACATCTGCCAATTGTGGCATTTCTTGAAGCTCCTCCAAGATAAAGGACTACTAGATGGACCATGAGTTTGATCCAGTATGTTAATTCCTTGGTTCATGAAAGCCCTAGAAATATGGAACCCATAACCTTTATTAACATACCATATATATGCAGGATAACTGATTTAGGAAATGCTTTTCATGCAGGTTTCAGAATTGCATGATACACTAACTTTGAAAAAGAATAGATTAATTGTTGAATATTAAGAGTTAAAAACCTTCTGTAACCAGAAAATCCAGGTCTTCATATATACAGAAAGACAATTCTAATGCTTAATACCATTTCTCATTAATTCATAATGTAGATGATGAATCAGCACAATAATGTTGGCAAGAGCTATGTCAGTCAGTCATTGTGGAAGCTAGGCCATCTGGTTGTCCAGACACTAAGAAGATGCTTTGCAAAATGTTGTTTTTAATATAATTTTTGTGCAGAGCCGAGCCAAAACAAGCTCACACCTCTGTAAAAATTATTGTCAAGCAGTTACTCTGTTAGTGCCTCATTATTTTCCCATTTCTTTCACAAAGTTTCAGCATGTTTATCTTCTTCCTGGAAGATGAGGTAGTATCGAAATGCAGCTTAGGGATAGGACGGGTGAAAAAACAGCAATAAAGAAGCAAGTTGTGACAACAGCAGCTTATATTCCCTTAGGAGATTCCTTTTTAATTCTCTGACAGTTTAAGTTTGAGAGCTATCCTCCTCCTCCTCTTTTTCCTTTCCTCTATGCTCCTAAAGCCTCTGTGTAACCTTACATCTTTAGCTTGTTACAGAAGTGAATTTGTATGGAAGAGGAGCAGTATCAATGTAATTGCAGAATATGAAAAAATGCATTTCTACTACAATATATGGTCTATACTCCCACACAATAGCTGATAATGTGGCATGGAACTGGGTAATTGTACTTACATGCAGTTTCTTGCAGCTAAATCTCTATGCACAAACTTTTTGCTTGCAAGGTATTTCATACCTTTTGCTACTTGAAGGCCAAATCCAATTAAATCTTTTACTGTTGGGTTCTGTAAAAAATGGACACTTATGATAAGTAAAAGGACATAGTAAGTTATGGTGAGTATTGCTTGCAAATGCAATTGGCTAAGTAGACTCTGACACTTTTGCTGTTACTTTGAGATCATTGGGCTACATATTCTGCCATCAAAACTACCAGTGAGGGGCGGAAGTTGGTGAGGAAGCTAAGAGCCTGATAATAACTATTATGTTGGTATGAACACAATGAAAAAAGAAACATGTGAGAGCAGCAACATATTTGAATGATTGCCTTTGTAACACAGCATACCAGAAATAATTTTTAGTCTGGCCAAGATGGGCTCAGTGCAATATCAAGCAAAATAGGGTAGGCAGGAGTTGCAGGGGTCAGTATGACCTTTAGTACAATTTAAAGCAGCATTAAACTATACTTGGCTGCAAAAGGACCTTCCCAGAAAAAGGGGATGCCAGAATGTAGGGGCCTCACCCCAACCTCACCTGTCTCAATGGCATGGGCTGTGAGTGAGGGTGGCTAGAACTGCTAAACTGGCTCTACATAAGGAACCCCATTTCACCCTCCAAATTGTAGATTAACTGCAAAATTCAGATCAGCGAGAGAACAGGATATGGCCCTTTCATTTTAAAAACTTACCTCACATCACATACGCAGTGGGAGCATCTACATGAGATGCTATGGCACAGTAGCAATGATCTACTGCACCTTAGCTTGTTGCTACTGTGCAGTAGCATTGCCAGGCACCAGCTGTGCAGCAATGCCTCTACACAATAGTAATGAGCTACTGTGCAGTAGCTTGTAGCACAGTAGCATCAGGAAAAAAAGAACTGGCAATGGTACTGCTCAGTAACATTGGTTACTGCACAGTCACTTAGTACTTGCATAACTGCCCACTCTGCCACGTGTAGATACAGCCACTTATTACAATCTTTTGCTCATCATTACCATTTGGAAAATAAGTCAATGCCAGTTTATCAATTCCTTTCTGTCATATAAATAAAATTTATGATGTAATTTTTGGTGTAGATTAGAACCTTCATTTGGTGACGAGCTGAAAATAGATAGTCCTACCCAGAAGGACAATGGAGTTGTTCAGAGAGAATTTTACGATTCTGCTTCAGCAGTCGCAAGGGGAATGGGAGTGAAGAAAATCCCATGTAGAAGGATGGGAAAAGAAAAGGTACAATAAACTACTTTTATATGTGGCACAACCTCTAAGGAAGAAGAGCCACTGCATCACAAGAAGAGTTGCCTTCCTTAGTGACTGACAAAAATCCAGTAACTGTAAGGACTATTGAGGACTCCGTTGTGTTCAGGTGTTTTGCCTTGATCTGTAACTTTCCTGTGCTGTCTGAAAATAAAGACTGCATGTTTAAGAAGTTCTTCCACAAAGCCTGCATTCTATATCTGATATGTTATGTGTCTCCAGAGAGTTAACTATAAATCAGGACTACAGGTAGAGGCTGGAGGTCTGGGGTGGAATTGCGTAAGTGACTGAGTAGATCTGGGAGGTTCAGAATTGGTTATAAGATTTAAGGCAGTTAAACTTTCGGATCTCACACCCTGAGAAAGCATCAGCACCCTGGATATCTGACTTAGAGACCAGACCTAGAAACAATGTGCGGAGAGCTGCCCAACCCAGCTGGCCTGGAAACACATGGAGCCCAGAGATTGGGTTCAATAGCGTAGACTAGTCATTGTGTACCAGGGAGATTCAGTCAGGAACATAACCTTCACTTTCATTCTGGTCAGGTCCCATTATCTAGAACCAGTGGCTCTCAAACCTTTTTGGAATCAAGGCACCCCTCGTTAGACTCAAGGAACCTCTCACAAAATGCCAGCTCTTATCTTTCTTTTCTTTTTGACTAGGAAAAATAATAGAGCAATTCTTCTGTTGCAAAAGAACTCAGGAAGATCACAACAGGTCAGAAAGTTTTGGACACTATACATTCCTATTGAAACTTTCTGGGTGTATCTTGTGAATCGTGTAAGTGTTTGCACGCCCAGTCCTGCTAATATTGTGCAACACCTTGAGGGATCTCATAGACCCCTGGTTGAGAATCACTGATCTAGGCAAACCTGATATTCAGAAATCCAGTTTATTTAGTCAGGCTAAGTTTAATGCAAATCTCTAAATCCTGTATTTAACTGTATGACCACTTCTCGTACAACTGTGAGCATCTTCAAGTTTCTATAAGCTGACATTGCTGGTATGGTCTCCTGTGGAATAATGCTGTTTGACTGGAAACTATTACTGCAACAGAGTCTATTACCCTAGTTATGAGCTAGGACCTCATTGTGCAAGGCACCATACACACACAGAGCCAAAAAATGGCTTCTGCACTGAAATACATATAATTATAATAAAATATTATTACATTAATAAATACGTGTACATTAGTACATATACAGGGCCTGATACTCAGGGCAGCACATCATTTCCCCGAACTAAAGACGACACTGAGGCCCCTGACAGATATCATACTTAAGATGTTAATAAATGGTTAATCACATCTGAAGTAGTGATGTGGCCACATGTTCAAGAAATTAATAAAACCGTAAATGATAGAACCAGGAATAAGTCACAAAGCCGTACATAAAATACATTTAATAACTTTGTGCCTGGTTCTTATCATGCCTTACTTGAACATGTGGCTACTGCTTAGCCTCTGCAGCATATAAGAACCTTTTGTGCTCCAGAGGCTGAGGCGCCCTTCATCTGACTGGGGCTCCCAGCTGAGGATGTACACCAGAGGCTCCCACAGCTGGAAGACTTGGTCAGAGCCCCTGATCAGGGCTTCTAGTTGGGGGTGCACACCATGCACTCCTCTGGCTGGGAGACCCAATCAGATGACTGGGCTTCCAACTGGGGAGGTACATCATGCACTCCCGTGTCTGGAAGCCACGTCAGCTGATCACGGCTTTCAGCTACGTGTGTTCCTCCAGATGAAAGCCCTGATCAGCTGATGGGACTCCCAACTGCAGGAGCACATAGTGCATTTTTGCGGCTGGCAGCTAAATGTTTGCTACTTGCTTGTGTAGGGGGACCCTGGGATGGTATCATGGTAGAAATCAAAGAGCACCATAAAATGCAAGAAAATGTGCCACAGCCCTGTACAGGAACCTTTGCATCACTAGGAATCAGGCCTTCAATTATACACTTGGTAAAGCCACTAAATTACATTCTAGAAATATGATACACACATATTAGCACAAACTGGTGAGAACATAACCTTGTAAAGAGGTACTTATACCTTGTACATGTGATGGCTGTTTGTTTGTTTTTTTAATAAAAAGGAAATCAGTAACCAACGGAAAAAACTGAAATGTACTGGATCAGATCAGTAGCTGATGTAAGGCATCACTGTGCTGAAGGCAATGGAGCTATACCAATGTGTCTCAATGGACTGTCTGGCCCATTAATTTGAATCTAATAAAAATGTGTTTATAAAGAGTCTTTTGGAAGTGATAAATATTTACTGCTAACAACTTCTGGGAAAAGTTCTGGAAAGGAATTTTCAGGGAGGATATGTAGCTTTCAGTTTGGCTAAGTGCCAGGGTAGGATTTACAGCGTAGTGGTTAAGGTACACTAATTACTGCAGACTACATACTGCACAATTGTCAGTGCTTCTAACCTGTATATTGTCAGTGGGAGTGCATACATTCATGCCAGTATTTAATAGACTTGGGCTGTGAACAAGCATACCTTCAAACTCCTTTTAAAGATGAGGGGGAGCTGCTGCTTGGGAATGCAAATCAGTTGTTATGATGTAACTGTTACATCTATATACTTCTGTAAAGATAACCATTCGCTAAAGCCCTCAATGAAACTTCAGCCCTGAATAAAACAGCTTTAAAGTTGCTAGGATTTTTCTACACTTGCATTACTACAGAATCATATAGATGTAACAGTAGCATCATAACAGCTTAGGTTACTATCATTTGGTATCAATACAATTGCTCGATTTATCTGTACACTGGATAACATACTTACATGAGTCTCATTTCTAATGAAGTTTCGAAGATCTCCATGTTTCATGTATGGGAGTACCACTAAAGGAGACCCTTCATTGGGCAAGCAAATGCCAAGTAATGAAAGAACATTGGGATGACTGAAATCCTTCATGATTATTCCTTCCTTAAGAAACTGAGCTACTTCTTCTAGATCTGTAATTCCTGAGAAATCCAGTAGCAGAAGAAAAAAATTAAACTACAGTACACTTCACTTGCCGCAAATTATAACATGCCAGAAATCAAGACAGGGCAGATATCAAATGTAAAAAGTGCACTTAAGATATGATGCACACTAACCAGGATTTACAGAATGTGCTCTGATACAATGCTCCAAACTGGATGTGGAGTTTATAGGCACTTCCCACTGAAATCAATGCGCCTGATCCTGTGAAGTGTAATTTTACTCACTGAAATCAATGTTGCTGTTCACATATTTTGCTGATATGCATGAGTGTTCTCAGAGTTAGGTTTATTATGAATGAGCACAAATGTTTATATTCAGAGTATTGTCCAGGAAGTTTTCAGTGTTGTCAAATTCTAAACAAACTATGTTACATGAGATATTCAATAATAAACTGTCTGAGATATGTGTTTCTGTCAAGTGTTTGATGTTAACAGCAGCAGCAACAATAACAATAAGAAGTTAGTATTGCTTTCTTATTAGTAAAAATGGCAATAAAAAGTATTTCCTGAGTATATGCTCTGGAACAAATTATTTCCATGGTATGCTCCAGCTTCCTTCTGCTGACTTTCAGAAAAACAAAACAAAGCAAAAACAAAGCACAAAAACCTAAAGCAAAACAAACCTTAAGCCAGCTCTTTACAGTAGAATACGATATTTCCTTCCCTTGCCTCTTTCTCTTATAACCAATATTTGTTCATGAGGGAACGAAGACAGGTTCTCTTTGATGAAGAAATATACAGACCCATATTCATCCATGTAGATGCACTGAAGTTAGTGGAATTATACCAAAGATGAATTTGGCTTAACTCTAACTACTAATGTTATTGGTGACACTGCAACTCAACAGTACATTTTACTATAAATAGTTACTCTGATGATCTTAGGAAAATGATAAATGTCTCTCTATTAAAAATGAAACTCACTATTCAAGGACTTCACAGCACAATGAATTTTCCTGCTATCATTATCCAGCAAGGTCCCATGGTACACACACCCAAAATGTCCTGCACAAAGAATGAGTAAAATTAGCCTTAATGAATAGGAATAACTTTATAACACATTTCATTGTGTAGTGTTTATGCTGTATAAAGAAGTCAGTGAGCTCCATTTTCTGCACAATTTCAAACATTTTCAATGTTTACTTTGTAATTAACATATAAAGCCATAAATACATAAAACAAAAACTCCATTTCCAGCCTAACTGACATTTTCTGATGTAGAAGGAAAGTATAAATAATGACAAGGTTGGCACCACAGATGGCTGATATGCTCGTAATAATTACTCACAAAACGTATCATACCCATACCCCCCCATACTCTCCTGTTAGATATACAATACTTCAGAGGAGGGGTCTGAATGGAACAGTATTAGAGAACTTTTTCATCTCTAGATAAGGAAATTAAAACCAAATCAGAAAAAAGTGTACTGTAGTCTCCGTGAAATAAAGGTGTGATCCAACACACAGTTCTCACTGTAGTCAGTGAGAATCTTTCCACTGACTCCACTCACTTTGGAACAGGCTCCTATTTCCTAAAATAATGATTTAGCATCTAAGGCAGTCTGAGCAGACAATGTTATAGATAAAGACAGGAGTGGATCCATGGGGGGTGCACTGGTGCATTTGAACCCCACTTTGACTCCTGATCCACTCAAAGTTTAAAACCAACTTCCTGACATTGGCAGCAGCATTTCTAGTCAAGCTGTGCTGAGGGAGTCACTTGACTTAGTGACTCATCATAATCTGCCTGATCCCTTCTATACTCTTCATTCCTAAAGTCTTCAAAAGCTATCCTTTGTTCTGCAATTCTGCTGTCTGTTAGCCATTCCTGGTTACGAAGCTCTTATTATGCAGTCTTCCAGACTGTTTTAACTCATTCCAATGAAGTTATATTGTTTTTGCTTCAACCTTAAACCACATAATCCAGCTCTAGGCCCACAGCATATTAGTAAAGCTTCTAGTTTATTTTTAAATGGGAAAAATATGTGTTGTTTTATGCAACACACCATCTGCACCTCACCTTTTCAATAGATCTAGATCCAACCATGGATATGGAGATCAAAATCACCCTACACTCTTCTGACTAAGGTGTGTGGCAGAAACATATGCTGTTACCATCTTGGCTAACCTACTGTGGGAATCAACAGAGATCGTCAATCTTCAAGCCCATGCATTTTCCAAGAACTCAATTAAATTAACTCAATTAACAAAATTAGATACCTCTGAGGAGCCTGGACAATGAGGTCACAATTCCTAATCAGATCTAATGCTGGGGTTACAAGCCAGCATCATGAATGTATATTCACTGGGCGTGACAGATAAAGGTTCATTTTTCGTAAATATTAATGCTTGCAGTCAGAGACATAAAGCAGTTTTTCAAGAATTAGACTGCAGAGTGTATGATTAATTAATTAATTCTATTCAAGATCCAGTCACAAGTGCTGAGCAAAACCCAAACTGGCTTTGGTTCTTCAAAACAGAAGGGGTCAGGAGCTAGTTTTACATAAACAATCCAAATCCCTGCAAACCCACTGGATGTTTAGAGTCAAGACACCTATTAAGCAAAACTTAAAGTTTTGGTTGGGCGTGTTAGATAAATATTTCTGATTTTGGCCCATTTCTAGCTATGGAAAGAGATACTTAGAAAGGCGGGTGAGGGGATAGACTCCAATTATATCAGTGACATTTCCTGAAAGTTTTCCAATAATGTGGGGATTGTTTTTGGAAGAAAAGAAAGAAGAAAATAGAAAGGCCCTGCCCTTGCTCTGGGAATGATAAACTGTGATATGCAGAAGAGAACACAATGTCTGTTTATTTGATTTGTGACTATTTTTCTGCAAGAACAAAGATCAGAGGAGGTTTATAACCAACTCTTTAAGACGATTCAATGTTCAGATGCTCAGCTTGAAACTCTAGTGTTTGACCTGCAGAAGTACTAAAATCCCACAGCTTCTATTTAAGATACATGAAGTACAGAGAAGTAGTGAAGACCACTAGATATTGACCTTTTCAAGGGATGGAGAAGGGGGATCCTCCCTGGGAGAAAGGAAGAAATAAGGGGACATGGAGAGGACAGGAATGGGAGAGAGAGAGATCGTGGGATGAGCGGACACTGATATGAGAGAGGGAGAGCTAGAGATCCATAAAGCCCCTGGAATGGCAAGGGGAGGTATAAGGCAAGATGAGAAGGGGTGTACGCAAGCCCTGGAATCTTGTGGCAGGGAGGGGAGGGAGAAGGGAGACGTACACAGAACACCTGGTAAGGGGGGGGATGCCACAGGTAGTGCCTGAAATAGGGAATGGGAGTGTGAGCCCACGGTGAGCAGTATGGAAAACACAAGAAAGCAAGGTGCATGCAATGCAATTGGCCTACAAATGCTATAAAGAACATAATTCGCTGTTTAAGTACTGACAACACCTCTCTGTGTTGCATCGATGTCACAGAGGTATGCAATGAACAACTTTGCATAAAATATTGCTTAGCTAGATAAGAGCTGGAATACCTACCTCTTCCAATTACTTCGTTAAAATGCACAATCAGGCTATCTGCACCAATAACCACATGCTCAACTTCTTTGACCAGGTCTGGATTTAAGGCACTGATATCAATGTGGACATTTGTTTGCAGTAGTGGACTGGCTAAATCCGAGTCCCCACTGGACAGAATGGGGGACAGGTCTGTATGAGGATATTGTATTGGTCTGCATGATCCATTCTGAGACAAACTTGGAAACTGATCTGCAAGAAGGAGAGAAATGATTAGAACACTTTTACACACCCTACTATGCTCACTGGCAAATCAATGGCTGCAATAACTGAGACAGTTTTACTCCATCAGTTTGTAAGTTATGCTGCTTTACAAAACTCTCTGTCGCAAAGGAGAATGAAATGCAGTGTTGGCTTGCCAAATTTCAGGAAAACTTTATATTACTGAAGACAGAACTTTACACTGGCCACAATCATGGCTCCTTTGAAGCAAACTGCAAAACTCCTGTTTACTTCTGGGGGAACAAAAACGGACCTTTTTCACTTCTAGCCAAGATAAAGTATGCATAGTACATACTGATTTTATAAATTCCCTTAGCAGTAATAGAAATAACACTGGAAAATAACATAGATGAACCAGAAGTAGAAAGTAGTAAAGGATTAAAACCCCCCCTCAACTTTGTATTATGATGTGATCATAACTTGATTGGCAATTTTAAATGTCATAAGCACTCCAAAGCTGCTTGTGATCAGTTACATTTGTTCATTGGTAAATATTCAACCAAGGAACTGCCTAGAGGTGATTCATATCCTGAAGTCTTTAAAAAGATAATAGAGTTGGTGACACATGTGAAAATAACTCTTGCCCACTTGCATACATGACAATGTTTCAATTAAGCTTGGTATAGTTATTTGAGAATAGTATTTTTAATCAATATAACTTTCAAATATTTAATTTTCTTTTAGTTTAAAGAAGTTTTTACTGTTTTGCATTATAGAATTACAGAGCCAGTGTTTGTTTTCATTCAATGTAAACCTGGCATGACTCCAGGGAGTCAAAGAGCAGTCTAAATCCCAAGGTCATAAGGAAGTAAAACATAACAATGAACCTTAATAGACACTTTACCAGAGCAAAAAGAAAAAAAAAACTCCACAGAGATATGTTACCAAAACACAGATATTTGAAAGTATCCACATATTATAAAGTATACTGTTCAGTTATCCTTCTTACATTCCAGATGCTGAGTAATATTGCTATGCTTAGGAATGCACTGGCATAGTCTTCATATTTAGGAGAAGCAGTACCTTGTGATTGCTGTGAGACCAAGATGAGCCTTTCTAGCATTTAATTTTAATAGCTGTTCTCAATCTACCTCAAATGTTGCTGATGTTCTTATTTTATTCTTAACAGTATTTGGTGTGAATATTAATAAACCCACATTAATTTAGTTTTTATGATTGACAAAAATAAGCTATAGCATTCCCCTGTGATAAAAACAAAGGAATGAGCCATGTCAGAGAGTCCTGAACTGTCTGATAGTCAGTTATTGTCCTGATCTGCCAGCCTCTATGCAGATCTGATCTTTTAACACTTCTATTAAAGAGGATTTTATAGTGCTCACCAAATTATAATCAGTGAGCCCGATTCTCTGATGCACTGGGGATGACCACAGATACTTTGGCAATGCAGTGGCTCTATGGCAAGTTAAGTTAGTCAATAGAGGACTTGCCCTACATACATATAATAGAGCCACTTCCTCTCTGGCCATTGGCACAGGACTTCTTTATTCTTGGGTGATCCCTTGTGCACAGAGCATCCTCTTTAGTCCACTGTCAGATGCATATTTTTAGGCTTCATAACAGAATCATATATAATTGCATATGTATACACAGATGCATATATTATAAACATAATAATCCATATTATATCACACAATCATGATTAATAACATTATATATATATTATTACTATATTATAGTAACAGTATGTATATACACACTATAATATTACTATATTATATTATAATATAATATTATAATACATTAATAACATAGCATATGTATTATTACCATACTATATAAAATATTATGTATATTATACATTTCACACACATATATATATATTCAGTATAATGTATTATATTGAATGTGTGTGTGTGTGTGTGTGTGTGTGTGTGTGTGTGTGTGT